GAAGCCCACGCACCTAGAGCCCATGCTCCGCAACAAGAGGAGCCACCGCAATGAGAAGCCCGTGCACCACAACCAAGTGTAGCCCCCGCTTGCCACAACTAGAGAAAAGCCCGCGCGCAGCAACAAAGACCCAACGCAGCCAAAAATTAAATAAATAAATTTATTTTAAAAAACCAAAAACTATAGACACAGTAAAATGATCAGTTGTTATCAGGAGCTCAGCAGGAGGGAGGGGGGAATGAATGGGTGGAATACAGGGGATTTTAGAGCAACGAAATTATTCTGCATGATACTGCAATGACATTACATGAAATGTCATGTGGTAACATTTTGCATTTGTCAAAACCCATAGAACTGTACAACACAAAGAGTAGAAGCCTAATATAAACCATGAACTTAAGTTAATAATAATGTATCAATATTTATTCATCAGTTGTAACAACTGTACCACACTAATGCAAGATGTTAATAACGGAAAAGTGCCCGTGAAGAAGAGCGGGTTTATAGGAACTCTCTGTACTATCCACCCATTTTGGTCATATTCAGTTATGTACATAATTTTTTTAATATCATGGACAGTTCCACTTCTGGGTGTATACACAAAAGAATTGAAAGCAGGGATTTGAACAGATATTTGCACACCCATGTTCATAGCGGCACTATTCACAATAGCCAAAAGACAGAAGCAACCCAAGGGTCCATTGATGGATGAATGAATAAGCAAACATAATGTATGCATACAACAGAATAGTATTCAGCCTTAAAAAATAAGGAAATCCTGGGAATTCCCTGGAGGTCCAGTGGTTAGGACTTGGCGTTTTCAATGCCGAGCACCTGGGTTCAATCCCTAGTCAGGGAACTAAGATTCCACAAGCCTCGAGGCGGGGGTCAAAAAAAAAAAAAAGGAAATCCTGACAAATGTTACAATATAGATGAACTCTGAAGACATTATGCTAAATGAAATAAGCCAGGCAGAAAAGGACAAATACTGTATAATTCCACTTATAGAAGGTGCCAAGAGTAGTCAACTTCACAGAGACAGAAAGCAGAATGGTGGTTGCCAGGGGCTGGAGGGAGAAAAGAATGCGGAATCAGTGTTTAATGGATACAGAGTTTCAGCTGAGAAAGATAAAATGTTCTGGAAATGGATAGTGATGTTTATACAACAATGTAAATGTACTTAATGCCACAGAACTGTACAATTAAAAATGGTTAAAATAGTAAATTTTATGTTGTGTATATTTTGCCACAATAAAAAAAATGAGGAAAAGTGCTGAAAAACTGGTTTTCCAAATTGAAAAATATATATATATCACTTCCTTACACCGTATAGAAATTCTACACAGAAAGCAAAACAACTTTTTTAATTTTAGAAGAAAATACAGATATATAGAATTCATACCATGCGGTAGAGAAAATTTACTTAAACCAGACACAGAAACAAATTTTGTTAATTTAGTGTAAAATTTTCCATAAATATAACATTAAAATGTAAAACTTGTATACAACTAAAGACATTGTTAACAAAAGCAAAAGCCAACCCTCAGACTGGCAGGATGCTTTGGCAACACATAAATCCAGCAATGAATGAGTATCCAACGTAACCTAACTGTCCCACAGTTAGTGGAGGATACATAAACAGTGATTTAAGGCTACAACTGAACACTACTCCGCTTTTAAAAATAAATCAACCAGATACACAAGTGGCAACATGGTTAAACCTCCATCAATTAATTTAAAGCATGCACCCCTTTGACCCAGCAATTCTACTTTTCATTCACTGCAGCAATGGTGAAATGGCAAACAGCTTTAATGGCCATTAATGAGGAGAGGATTAAATAAACTACAGTACAATATATATTATGTATGGTATTGTGTAGTAGTCAAGAAGAACCAGGTAGATCTTTATGTTCCATCATGGAAAGATCTCAGACATTCTGCTAGGAAAAAGTTGCAGACCAATGTCTACAGTATCATGTCATTAATGTGGGCATCGGAGGAAACCCTACTTCTTCCTGTATTATCTATATATAGATGAAAATGCATAGAGAAAGGTCTGGAAGGATCACAACAAACTGATAACTGCCGTTTTGGTGGAGAAGGGAGTGGGTCAAGGGGCCTTGTATTCTGTCTGTAATGTTTGAGCATTTAATAAGACAGTGTGCATTCATGAGCCATTTGCAGAGCTGCAGTACACAGCCCCCAGACTGCACAATACAACTCCAGGAGCTGCCATTCACAGGCACTCCGATGTGAATGGCATCCCCTAAAATTGGGCAGTATACTTCCTGCACTAGATGCCACAGCCCTGATACTTGTATAACTAGAAATAAATAAAATGAGAGGTGATGAGAGTATTTACTGCAAACCAGCATGAGGGAGTTTCTACTGTGGTGTAAATTTCTATATCTTGATTGAGATTGTGGTTACAAAGTATAGACAGTGCCCAACTTACAATGGTTTGACTTTAGATGGTGCGAAAGCAATACACATTCAGGAGAAACTGTACTTCAAATCTGAATTTTGATCCTTTCCCTGGCTAGCAATATGCAGTATGATACTCTCCCGTGATGCTGGGCAGCGGCAATGAGCCACAGCTCCTGGTCAGCCACAAGAGTAAACAACCCAGATACTTACAACCATTCTGTTTTTCACTTTCAGTACGGTATTCAATAAATTACATGAGACATTCAACAGTTTATTACGAAATAGGCATTGTGTTAGATGGTTTTGCCCAGCTGTAAGCTAATGTAAGTGTTCTGAGCATGTTTAAGGTAGGCTAGCCTAAGCTATGATGTTCGGTAGATTGGGTGTATTAAATGCATTTTCAACTTACCATACTTTCAACTTACAGTGGGTTTATCAGACATAACCCCACTAGACCAGCTCTGCACAGGACATCTGTGCAGACATCAGTAAAGTTGATTTCGAAATAAATGTAAATTAAATATATAAATAAATAAAATACAATATCACTGAGAAAACCTAGAACAAGGCATCCAAAATTACAGGACCTAGGCATCCCAAAATAAGAACTAGTAGACACCTGCTGGTTGCAATCTTAAGTACACAGTCATAAAACTAAAGAGAAATTAACTTAGTTCTTCAAGGCTTACTACACAATGCCAAATTTGAATTAATATTTTATTTTTATACAAGGAAACGTAGGTCCTGAGAGATTTATACTAAAGATATAAAACAAGTGGTAACTTGGCATTCTATTGGTTTTAAATCTGATTTCCTAACTAAGTAGAAATTTTGTCTCTCACACATAGCGGACACTCAAAAGCCTTGCCAACACTACCTTGACTACACAACCCCCTTCAAAAGTAATTCCACTTACGTACGATAAAAATTCTCACAGAACTCATAAAAGGTCAAGTTTTAATTTGGCAGGCAAAGTAACCCAACAGGCACTGCAACCCAGGCAACTGAAACACCAGCCTGGAGCTCGAAGAGTCCAGAAATCCAACCAAGGCAGAAAAAAGGCAGAATCCCAGCCCTTACAGAAGAGCAGAGATACATCCTCTTATGACAGATCTAAGATCCAAGAACCAAGATAAAAATGAAAAAGTGTTTTCTGGACAAAAGTACTCTCCTTCCTCAAGTGATAGAAAAGGGCCAGAACGGGATGATTTGAAGCAACGGCCCAAGGAGTAAGCTCCTGGCAGCCAACATGCAATAAAGATGTGAAAGTGGCAGCATGAGCACAAGATATGACAACTCCATCACCTTAGCCATCACTTTAAATGCCCAGACCTAAGAACCTGGGTTACCTCACACGGCCAAAAAAAAAAAAAGAGAACCTGAGAAACAAGGGAAGTCCAGTCAGCCATCCCTAACACCAGATTTATCAATAGTGCTCTGTGTAAAAGAGAGCAAAACCTTGCTTGGTTCATTCATTCAGGCAATACGTAGGTATTTAGTGCCTGCTGTGGGTCAAGCACTGTTCTTGTCACTGAGGATTTAGCAGTTAACAGTCATGGAGCTTCATTCTACTTGGGAAGAAAGGTAACTTCTTTTCTCTTTCCAATTTCCGTTTCCCTTCTCTCTCTTTAAATGTTACGCAGAAGTTCCCTCAAAACTCTCCCAAGTACCTCCCACAAGCTTCTTTGACCCTCCTGCTTTAATCCTCAAAGCAAGCAGTTTTATGGCTCCAATTTCCCAATACTGGGGAAAAGAGACCTAAAGTGAATGAGACAAAATTCAATGTTGCTTTGTACTTCATACGCATACCTTTACAACCAAATTGCCAGCACTTAAATAGCAAATGATGGCTGTGTTTTACACAATTTTGTGGCGCCAGTGCTGACCACGGTTCTCTACCCAAGGTACCTAACCAATAAACGTTTGCTGAGGCTGCTGGAAGGTCTTCCTAATCCCAAGGCCTGGCACAGGAATTTAACAGCAAGCATTCGTTAGCTGCATCCTTCCTCCTCTCAGGACACTTTCCTTTAACGGGTGACTTCGGTGCACAGGTTCACTGATAGGTGCCTCGGGAAATAGTGTTTTGAGGTGATGTGAAATAAATTCCTTTCCCTCTGCCAGGGCCTGCCTGCCTCACCTGCCCTCTGCCAGGACCTGCCTCCTTCGCCCCCTTAAACACCTAAGGCAGAGCCTGCTCCCTGCGAGCCGGGCACGGGCAGCATCAGCCCTGCGCCCGCACCCCGGCTCGGCGCCCTGCGGCCACAGCGCGCTCGGGACCCCGGAGCCCCCTCCGCGGCCCGGGGCTCAGAGCCCGGCGGCGGCGGCCCGGAGCTCCGCTCCATCCCCCGCGCTCGCCCCTCCAGGTCCGGGCGCGCGGCGCCGTCTGCCCTCACAGCGCGCGCTGTGCAGCGGCCCCGGCTCCCCGAGCGCCGTCTCCGCCGCTCCCGGCCCTGCACCCCCGCAGGCTCCCGAGGTAAGGGCGCTGCGCGGGCTCCTTCCCGCTTCTCGCGGGCGCGAGGCACTGGCACAGCGCTCCTCTCCCGCAGCCTGCGGCGGCCGCCACAAACCCCCGCCGTACTCACTTCCCGGCCGGAGCTGGGGGCGTCGAAAAGGTCTCCGGCGGCCGCAGCCTCCTCCGCCTCCTCCGGCCCGGCCTCCGAGGCTGAGGCGGTGGCGGCGCCCGCTCAGGCCCCGGAGCCGCCCCCGCGGCGAACGTTCTCAGGAACCCTGCTCGCGCCGCTTCCCCGCCCGGCACGCGCAGCGAGCCCGCCCCCGGTGCGAGGGCGCGAGGGCGCGGGGGCGCGAGGGCGCGAGGGCGCAGGGCGGGGGCCGGGCACGCGCCGCCTGCGCGAGCGCGCGGCTGGGGGCGGAGCTTCCGCCGCGCCGAGGAGGGGGCGGGCCAGCGGGCATAGTTCCCCTCGAGGCCCGCCCCCTGCGGCCGGGTTCCGGGCGGGCGGACTAAACTTGCCCCCTGCGGGCTTTTCCCGTGAGCCAGCTGCGGGCGGCGGAGTTGCGTTCCAACTCCACAGGTATGTGCCCCGCCGGCTGGATGATCTGCCCGACGTGACTACAAGGTAAAGAATGCAAAGAACCACCCCCATGAATCATTCATCCGCACCTCGAGCACGAGACCCTGCCCTGAGTAATTTTTCCGTGTTAATTCAGCTCAGCAACCGTTAACTGAGCACCGACTACGTGCCTAGCGCTGTAGCACTGTACCAGGTGCTGTGTGGGTACACCGTCAAGGACCCTGGTCTTACGCGCTACCAGGAGCGCGTAACTTAGTGGAAAAGCGGCCGTGTAAACAAGCAGGTCTGGTGATCCGTGCAAAGCCAAGCCACGGTGAGATGCTGTGGGAGGGCAGAGGAGGAAGAGATTACTTCCGCTTGGAGAATGCAGAGGGATACCTGGAAGAGGTGGCATTTGTGTTCAGCCTGCAAGGAAGAAAAAGAAATCCTAGGAGAAAAAAAGGGAGGGCATCAAAAGCTAGGTAAACACCTTGGGCAAAGGAACAGGGAGTGACCAAGGTTTACCATCTCAGCATCAGCTTGTTTGTTTTAATATCCGTTTTGCTAGAATCCTTTCCAAACTATGTGAAACAGGAGATGATGCCAAATGAGGAACAGCAAAGCTTTTTTTTAACGGTTCAAAGGATCATTTTCTCAACTTTATTTAAGGCTCACGACAGCAGTGCCCTTTAAGGACTTTTGATACGTTAGTGAAGGATATAAATCCCTAAGCTAAGAGAGCCCAGGCCCCTGTGCTTTAAGTCTGGTTTTTCACTGCTTTTTGGCACCTTATGGTAAGGCAGATCGTACCACCTTCTGCTGCTGTCTGTCTGCCTGCCTGTCTTTAGGACATCCTCTTCCTCCTCCTCTTATCTTCCTATTTTTAAGCCCCTGTGGTGAAGGAAATGCTGGTAACCAACTTTGTTAAGTGACAGTAAACAGGTTACTCCAAAAAACTGGCATCACCTATCACTTATGAATTTTGTGACTATTTTGCATGCTTAGAAGACTTTTTCACTTGTATGCAGGGTCTTAACTATGTTAAGATACTCAGAATACAGGGGAAAGACACGTTGTTTATTCACTTACTACTCATTGAGCACCAACTGTGTGGGAGGCATTGAAAGGGTAAAACACTGATCCTGTCCTCTGGAGAAAAGAGGTGTAAATGATGTAAAACAATATGTAAATATGGTTTGTTCTGTTTGCTCTACTGACTGAAACCAAAGTAATTTCAATATGTGGACTAGCCATTCTGGGAATTAACCACTTTAAATATATTTATATTAGCATCTCTCCATCTCGGTTCTGTTTTTCATCACCTCACACATCCTCAGAAAACTTCTTTCAAACATATTGCAGTCATCACTCTCATTCCCAAAGTTACCAACTTCTTTTACCTACTTGTTCTTTTCCTTCACCATCTATTCATGTTCAAGCTTTTCCTGTCCAAAAAAAAAAAGGAGGAAACCTCTGTCATTCTAGATCATGCTCCAGTTACTATTCCCTCCCTGTCTTTTAAGACAAAAGTCTCAAAATAGTTTACACTCATCTCTGCCAACTCAGCCCCCTCTCACTCCCCGACCCATAGCTGTGTAGCTTCTGTCCGCCCCCCCCCCCCCCTCCCCCCCCC